AAAAGTATTATTTAGCTATACAAATTATATAGCTATTTCTTTCACTTGCAGTAAACTTAGTCAGCAAACATGAAGGTTAAAAACAACAAAATATAAAATAAATATTTAGAACAACCAGTATAACATATGTCTCTAACATCTAATCAAAAAAACTGTAACTGAAAAAAAATATCAGTCAACAGAGTTCACTTAACCTCCTAGTTTAAAGGCCAACAGAGCCAGGATCTCTTGTGGGATGCTATTCCACAGGGCAGACATTGCAACAAAGAAGATTTCTATGTCCCACAATACAACACAACACTGTCAAATACATTAATACCTGGAGCGTGCCCACACTGCTCACAATGCCAAAGCGATATGCAGAGATAGGTAGAGACAGGCAGTTCTACAAATAACTACGCCTTGTGCTTATTAAAAAGCTAATGTCACCAACATTAGCTTTCTGTATGGATTTTTTCTTGGTTACCACATTTTGGAAAATTATAGCAGTAGATGTAATTTTAAGGTAGAATGAATCTATCAAAAGTTTGTCACGCATCTTCATAAATATATGAACTTTATGTGACACATTTTATTTTAGGATTCATTAACTTTTTCTCAAATGTGTTCTAAATGCAAACTTTTTGACTCAAAGCTTGTCCAATTTAATCAACATCTATTATGAAGTAAGCGTAAGAAGGAATAGGAGCGCAAGTGAGCAGAGAAAATATAAGCCAGAGTGCCCTGTAGCTAAATCCTAATTTACTCATGAAGTCAGAATGAGGTCTTCCCTGAATTTTACAGATTCTTCGTATGAAAATTAATGCTCTCCATCGTTCTCTCCATTTACTATTCATAATTTTACTCTAGTAACAAATGCTGTATTAGTCTATTTCTAAGGCCCTTTCTACTAAGTAAGTGGTTCTTGCAGGTTCCTGCTTAGCTTGCTAACTGTAACATTATTACATAAATGAAATATACTAAATGACACATTTGTAGTATAGTTAAATGAAACTGTGCTCGTTTGCATTGGGTTCCATATCTTAAAACTTTCTTTAAAATTGTATTTAATTATCTAGCTTCAGTAAAATACTCAAAAGTATGTTCATGTAGCAATATTTTAAAACACCTTCTCCATAAGTCAATTCTTCAACAGCAGATTTCTCTCATGTCTTCATTAGTGACAAAAACAGCACAAACACCCACTTGAAGCAAGTTAATTGTGTGAATTATCACACAATTATTGCTAAATCTCATTTGCAAGTGTTGTCCTATACTAAAGTCAGAAAAAAGTAATGTTTCCTATTTTAGGACATCAATTTCTTAGAAAAAGATGGCTTTCAGTTAAATGTTTTAATTTACTCAACGTTTACTGTAGCATCTACTTCTTAATTATTACAGCATAAATCTGTGAAAAACACAGCAAGGTAATTGCACTTCTAAGAGCATATTTGATAGAGTTTATATATTTTTTCCCCTTTTTCCAGAAGTTTTAAATGGGGAGGGGGATATTGTACAATTTTGGATTATTTAGAAAAAATAGAAAAAAAGATGTTAAATAAAGTGAAGATATGTGGGAAGTTACAAATAAAATAAGAGAACACCTCTGCCTATCTGTAATACATTGTAAAAAGCTTAATATTGTATTATAAAAGCCTCATTGAGAAATATCTAATTATTAGGACCTTGACCACTGGGAAGGCATCATGTGGCTGGTTTCATCTTTGTCGGGATGTTATTCTCAGATGTTATAGATGTTGGTCTATGCGGTTTGGACTAGGAATTGAACTCATGGAATTTTATACTTTAAATGACCATATACAGTGCTTTAGCTTTAGGAGCTATCTAAGCTCTAGTGGTCAATGGTTGCAGGTAATATACAGTACATAGACATATATACATATACATCATATACATATGGGCGGTGTGATGGGTCAGCAGTTAAGATGCTGAGTTTGTCAGCTGGAAAGCTAAACAGCCCAGGTTCGCAATCCAGGAAAGTTTGCTGCATTCCGTACTTTCATGCTACAGGTAGCTGCATGATGACAGAAGTGTCTCTCAGACAATGCAGGCTTCCTAGACTGAGAATCGGAGATGAGCACTGTCCCCTTGAGTCGGTCATGACTGGATAGAGGAAACCTTTAAACCTTGTTTATACACACACACACACACACACATTCATATTCATATATATATTATTCTGATAAAACTTCCAATTATTAGGGAGTGAATTCCATTAAGAAGGGATATATTCTTTAACAGCCAAACAGTGTATAGTGTTTGGCTGTTAAAGAATATATCCCTTCTTAATGGAATGTATAGTGTTTGGCTGTTAAAAAATTCTCAGAACGAGCAGTGAATGGCATTTATTTGGGGGATTTGTTTGTATTTTGTTGAAATGCTTCTGGTTTTATTTTAATCAGTAGCCTTTCTTAGAAAGATTTGGCAGGTTTTGAACTGTAAAGGTCAAAAATATTCCACCTTTTTCTGAGTGAACTAAAACTGTTTTAAGTTATTTCTTGATCTTCCCATTCTACCTAGAAAAGTTATTTATTCATATAACAACCATCTTTAATCGTGCTTTCTTAATTCCTTGACGCTCCGTTCCTTGGGAACTTCCAAAAAATCTACCTGAGATGGTGTGATTGTTCAAACTAATGTCTCAGCTGCTACTTCAAGAATATATAGAGAATAATCCATTAATGTCAAAGAAATATCATTTGCCCTAGTATGTAGCCTCCCTTCCTTCTCCATTTGCACCAACCATTAACTTGGATCAAATATAATTTCAGTGTATTTCACCCAAGCGGAATGACATCTCACTTGTACCAAATGACTACTGGGACAAAGAGAATGGAAAAAGGAAGTTTCAGCTATAGGAAAATGGCTTTTTTTCTGTAGAAAACTAGTATAACTCTAGTCCAGATCAGCTACACCTTCTGTATTGAGCCAATTATATCTTCTGCATTAGTGTTTCCCAGCAATGAAAGTAGCTAGATAAAGGACATCAGCTTTCCTCAAAGCTTGAAATTCTATATCCTAGATCAAAGGTCCCCAACCTTTTGGGCACCAGGGACTGGTTCTGTGGAGAGAGGTTTTTCCACGGACTAGAGGGGGCGTGGTGTCCTGTACTGCCTGCATCATGCAGATGGGGCTTTACTTATTTGCATGGTCCGGTTGATGGCATGCTGAGGCCCAGTGCTGGTCCACAGACCAGGGTTTGAGGACGCCTGTCCTAGATTAATGAGCCTGAGGTCAAAATCAATATTAATTCAACCAGAATTAGTAACATTTTCCCAGTCAAATTGTAAATCATGTTTTAGCAGTAAATTTCTTATACAAAACCTTGATGATATTATCAAATGTTTTGAAAGTTTGAATCTTGCTTGGCATTCAAAAGAATACAATGATAGTTTTCTCCCAATATTCAAGAGTAAAATGAAATCAAACATATGAAAGTATCAGACTCCAACCAAGGTATTCTCTTTGGTAGATGAATGTAAAGAAATTGTTTCCATGCCATAAATTAGCATATCATAGAATTTTTGAAACTGGATACTAATCAGACTAAGCAGTGCTAATTATCTATAATTGCCAGTTGTCAGGGATTGAGTCCAATTCAATGCCATCTTACATCAATAAATTTTGAAAAAAATGGGAATATTGCAGTGTTAATAATTTTAGTTCTAATCATAGATTTACATTTTCTTAAAAACAGGAAGTTTTGCCCAAAGGTTGAATCTGTAGATCTCAGTAGGTCCAGCCCCCTCCCAAATGGAAATTGATAAATGGGCCTAATGTTCTTCAGCAGCCCTGCTAAAAGGAGGGAGTGGGAGGAGCTCAGTGAGAGAGGGAATAGGTCAGTGGAAAAAGAGGTGGACCAAAACAAGAATCTGGCAAAAAACAGTTCTCAGGCTAAAAAAAAAAAAAGACTGCTATATAAACATAGTTCAACAGCTTTCCAAGGCCATGAAAAGGATGGCCAACTATTGGAGCAGAAGAAAAAATATAGTTATTATACATTCTTTCACCAGTCAGTACTGAACAATCTTGAATGTTTCCATACCCAGAATGGACTCCCAATTGAAATATAGATAATCACTCTTTCTTTTCAGCTGATTAATTTCCTTATTTTAGTTACTTTATCAAAGGCCATATGGTAGCCTTTTCATATTTCTACACTTGCTAACTCCCAAAAGGCCCTCCTTTTTCTGGTTTGGCTTATGCTGAAATGTTTACAAGCCCTCATAACAGAGTTACCACATGTGAAAGTATTTGGAGCAATCTTTATGTGGCAACTGTAATGTTTTTTATTCAGTCTTTATGATAACTGAACTGGAGGCAGATTTGTTGGATCCACAGATGTTATGTATTTTTTTGTCTGATATTAAATTGTTCTGAGAGTTCCACATTTATTCAAAGTCTCTATTTTTATTTGTATAGAAGTATAATCGAACAGAGTACTCTAGAATGCTATACTTGCTATATTAGCAAGTTATTAAACTAGGTTTAAGATAAAACAAGATGTTGATAATGGAGACAAGCGCTCCAAATCAAAATAATGTATAAGAAAAGGTGGAGCTTTTCTTTCAGCTGCTAGGGAAACTGCCATTTCAGCTTCAAATCTTTATCCACAGAAAAGGGAGGTAGGAAGCATTATACTTGTATTGGCAGAGCTATCACGATCTGAGCTCAGAAGCTCATTTCACCGGCAGAAAAAACAGTGAAAACAAAGTGAAGTGCTTTTGAGCACAAAAGGTGCAAAATAAAAAAAGGGGGGGGGGGAGAAGCAGCGTAACAACATTGTCGGGGTAAGAATAAACGATCTGGAGAAAAATAAATGCTTTGCTCAGGAAAGAGCCGTGCAAAAAGTGTCCTAATTATAGAAATATGCAGCATCTTCGTGCATTTAAGGTAACTCGTGTTAACGTTCTCTAGAAACGAGCTTCCTCGTGATGTGGCTTGGCTTTAGTACAGGAGACAAATTGCACTAAATAAAGCGGGGGGGGGGGGAACGGCAGGGAATAACGGGGAAGAGTCACCCGAACTTCAAGATCTCGGTCGTTGTCGATTTTCATTATTTCTTTCACTGCATCTGCGCCTAACCGACCGATCGGATTACATTTACGGTAAATTCAGCCTGAATGAAGTCTTTGCTCCCCGTTCCCCCTCCCTCCTCACCAGCTGGAGGGGAAAGGCGCCCCAAGCAGCGGCGCTGGGGAAGAGAGCGAGGCAGCTAGCTAACCAGGCACGATGCGAGAGGGAGGGGACAAGTGATCGACAGATCCAATGAGGAACCGGCAGCCAACTGGCTTCCAAGGAGGCTGGAGACAATTGATCTGCGGGAGCTGGCTCGGATTCCCTCTTCAACGTGAGGAGGAGGAGAAGCCTTAGCTTTGTGGCTGTGCTGCTCGCCCTAGCTGAGCCCGGAGCTTCGTGGTCGCCGCAGCTACCCTGGAATCTCGACAAACCCAGGCTGGCCGCCCGGAGAAATCGATTCCTGGCTTCCCCCTCCCCGCCTCTTTTTCGGCTTGTCCTTATTTCATTTTGACTAAGAAGCAAAGCGCTCCAGACCGTCGTTCAACTCCCCACGTGGACTCCCAGGTGCTGATCACATTGGCGAGCTGGTGCTGCAGACTTGAAGCAGCAGCAACCGCGGAGAGCGGCGGCTTTGCAGAGGAGTTCCTCGGTGCCGCCGCCGTTTAGCCGAGGGGTGCAAGTTGCGGGAAGGGGCCAAGGGGAGAGACGCAGCCCGTGCTTTCGCTTCGGGACGCGGCGGTTGCAGCAAGAGCAGGATGCCGGCGGCTGCTGGCGACGGGCTTTTGAGTGAGCCCACGGCGGCGAGCTTCGGCGACGACGAACCTACGACGCCTCCCCTCAGCCCGGAGGGGACCTTCCTGGCCGCCTGGGTCAACGCTTCGGCCTCCCGGGAGCGCATCCGAGAATTCCAGCACACCCAGCGGGTCGGCAGCTACCTGATCGGCCGGAAGTTGGGAGAAGGCTCCTTCGCCAAAGTGCGAGAAGGGTTGCATGTTGTGACCGGAGAAAAGGTACCTTCTTACTGCAGCGCTTTCCGTTCTTCTTCGCCTGAGCCATTTCCCGCCAAAGAACCCCAGGCAGTCTTTATTAGGCGCCCCCCTCAACGCAGACATTATGAGCCTCTAGCGCGGCCGCTTCCACTCCTCCCATTTTGGGAGAGGACGGGGCCGCCGCCTAGTTAGGTATCGCCCGGCTCCGAGCCTTTTGTAGCACCGCCCTTTCCACGGATTAAGTTGGGTCTTTTTTTCCCTCTCTTCAAAGTAGCCCGTGGAAAAGGCCCGTTTTCCTAGCCCCTCTAGCTAGTCGCTTTCAACCGCGTCTTCCCATCCCGACGCCGCTGCCCAAGCCCCATTCCTAATCCGCCTGCAAGGGCCGCTGTTCGCTGCTTTCTCTCTCCCCAGACGTTCCTGCTTTTACTTCGCAATTGTTGAGGGGCTTCCAGACGAAGGGCGCCTGACGCTTCCAGTCGAAAGATACTGCACAGCCAGCTATTCTGCCTCGTTGCTTCTTAACAAGGCTTCGGGGCAATCGCCAGTTATGCAGTTATGGCTCACCCGATGGTTTCCAGCTTCAGACCCTTTTGTCTTCTTGATCATTTTTTTTCCAGTTAAGAAAGAAGAGTTGTTGCTGCGCAATGGTCGTTGGTTTGTAGTATTGGAGATGCAATTCCATGGGAAGCCCCCTTGAGGGAAGGAGGAAAAAAAAGGTCAGAAGAAGCCGTGAGAACAGGAATGGTTACAAGTGGAAGGCTAAGGTTTCGCACAATCCTTGCATTGTTCCCAATATTTTACAGAAGGTCCAGATGTCATAATCTTTTGTTTGCAACCCTCTCGTGTTTCTCCGCTACTTGTTTATTTTTCTTTTTTGGGGGGGATTCATTAAGACTTTTTTAAAAAATCTACAATATATTTTAATTGGCAGAGCTAGAAACCTTCCCTGTTGAAGCCCTTAAATTTCCCCATGAACACGTAGGAGTTCTCTGTTTGAAGCAGGGTGATTGCAAATCAAAGCCTTACTTGTAAACATCATCTGAAACATTTTAAATGAAGTAAGGGTGGAAAGAGGGAGTGATATGTCAATATTAGGGAACAGTAAGAAGACAAAGGATGTCTCCAGATATCTTCCACTGGTCCCAAAGAATAGCTACCCATCCCGTCGTCTGATCCTTCTCCAGTCATCTGCCCACTCCTCCCCAAAATCTGGCAAACTAAGCAGTTTAAATTATGAAAAAAATCTTGTCTGGAAGCACCCAAAACCATATAAGACACAAGAGATATAATTCTAGGCCCATGTACATAATACTTAGTGAATTTACTGGTGTTTAGTGATAAAAAAACATGAAATAATCAAAGTTGTGATAGGCTATTACAGCCTTCCTCAACTTGTTTCTTTGAAATTTATTGGAAGACAACATGCATAACTCCTATTCTTGTTGATTGGATCATTGTTCAATGCATTTCCAGAATATCTAGTTTGACGACTCTAGTTTATTGCAATAGAATTAATTAGGGGTGGTCCCAGAGAAGCTTTTATTTTTCTGCCTTTCTGCCCCATACTCATAATTTTGCAGGGCAAAATTGCTCATTTGTAATTGCTCTGAAGTTTTCCCATTCTTTTAATTTTTATTACCAGGAAAAAAAAGTCAGAATAGTTACATAGTGTATTTTGATTGTCAGTGTAAGGAGCCATTCATCTGAGTATACCCATCTCTTCATGTTCTAGATCAGGGATAGGCAACCTTGGCTCTTTTATGACTCATGGACTTCAACTCCCAGAATTCCTGAGCCAGCATAGCTCAGTCCACGAGTCATAAAAGAGCCAAGGTTGCCTACCCCTGTTCTAGATCACCAGAATAGTCACCTTAAGTCTGAATTTCAAGATAATAAAAATATAATATTTAATAATCTGAAACTGTTAGTTCTTTGCCTTTTGGCTATTGGAAACTCACTTGTAGTTTTGTAACTTGTTGAGCTTGTTAAATATACAGACTACTGTGTAAATGAAGCTACTAAAGAAACTCTTCATAAAATACTGTAAGGGGGGGGGGGCAGTAGGACTATTCCAGACAACTGAGATAAGTGATTTGGTGATAGAAACTGTAAAACATTTTGTAAGTTATTTCTGTTACCTGTTGTTGGAAAAGTAATAACTAATTATAATACTAAATAACTGTTGTGCCTTGTTCAGTGTAGTCTTCTTGGCAATAATCTGGAAGTGGATTACCATTGCCTTATTCTGCATGATTTTCAACTTCCTGATCTCCATTATAGTTCTGGATTTAGGCTAACAGGGAAGTTGAAAAAAAGTCAGTAGCAAGTTATTTTCTTACCAGGTTAATTTGAAGAGGACTTTATTTTTTTTAATCCAAGTACCTATCTAACATTTCATTGTTAATATTTTTTCAGGATTAATCTAGTTTCTTTGAATTAATATTTAGGCCAATAATCAATGACATATTAAGTTCAGGCTTTACATACTTCTAGTCTGTCTGGAAAAAGTGGGCAAGGCCTCCTTACATAACAGTCAAGTTACCACAGTGCTTTAGACCAGACATGTCAAACACAAGGCCCGGGGGCTGGATGCGGCCCGCAAAGTGGTTTTATGTGGCCCGCAAAGCCATCCTGGAAACAGTGAAGAAACGGCCCCCTCTGCCTTGGCCCTGGCCCAGGCCAGCTGGGAGCCAATGTACAATTTTGTGGTGGCCATCTATGCTGAAACACATTCAGTCTTAGCTCCATAAGCCCCTCCCCCCTGCATGGCCTGAGTGGAACAGTGAGGCTCCTCCAGTGGACCACGCCTTGGTACTTGCCCTGGTCCCACTCCCTTCTGCCAGAGACCCTCAGATCTATCCCACTAGCCACACCCACGCCATCCACATCCACCCAGTAGGCCGCACCAACCCTGGCCACACCCACCCGGGCCCCTGAGGGCAACCGCAGTGCTGATGCGGCCCTCAATGAAATTGAGTTTGACACCCCTGCTTGAGACATTGTTTTGAAATCCATTGGTAATTTGTGGGGGCCAGATACTTTGATTATGCTACATCTGTCCTATGCCTGTTATACTAGTAATTAGTTTTGAGCTCTTAAAGTAATAGCCTGGAACACTGAAACCTTAAATCAGGGTGGCATAGCTCTAATATATTCTTGAAATAATGAAAAGTCTGCATATATTTTGACACAACAATGGTTTGATGATTCTAGAAGACAGTATTAGTACATGTACCACAGTAAATGTGCAGAATCTGATTTAGTTTTCTATTTTCTATTTAACAAAGAAAGATAGTTGCTTGGTGGATACTGTATTTCTTACAATTGCTCTAAAACATGAGCCTGTGCATATTTTCTAAAAACATCACTGTGCTCCATGGAGCTTATTCTAAACCAGTGGTTCTCAACCTGTGGGTTGGGACCCCATTTGGGGTCAAATGACTATTTCACGGGGGTCGCCAAACAACACAGTCCGCCATTTTTTCCCCCTTTTCCTTAGCTGTGCTACTCCTTTTTATTCTATTGGCTTTTGAAAGCCAATAGAATAGACTCTCTTGAATAGAGTCTAATTCTATTGGCTTTCAAAAGCCAATAGGAATTGTCCAGGCTGTCTCTGCCCTGCTGAGCCCGCCAAAAGTCCCATTCTGCAAACGGTGCTGCACCAGTTGAGTAGTCCTCGACTTACGACCGGTTGGGGGTCGCGACATTAAAAAGGTTGAGAACCACTGTTCTAAACTAACTGTGCATAAGATTTTAGAGTTGGAAGGGATCATTTGGGCATTGAGTTCTCTGCTCAGTGCAAGAATTCAAAGTAAAGGATCTCCAGCAAATAGCTGCTTGAATAGATCCAGTGAAGGGAAGTATACCATTGACTGATCTTACAGTAAGGAATTTTTTTTCCTAATGTTCTGTTGGAATTTTGCTTTTGTGTAATTTATACATTATTCCACATCTGTTAGTCGGGTATCATAGCAAGTTAGTCTTGCTCTTCTACATGAACTTCTTTGAGATGTTCATCATATTTTCTCTTATTTTCTATGGCTAAGTACATTCATCTCTATCTCCCCACTTTTCAAAGTTTATATCAATGGTATGTGAGATGTCTAAACTTCCATCCTGACAAACCAGGGATTACAGCAAAGAATTAGGGTATAATTCGTTCCAGAACACTGGTATGTCTTAAAAGAGCTCTGAGAAGTTTGATCTGTACTGCAAAAATGATAAATCAGAAAACCAAAAGTATGGCTTTTGCCAAAAGGCTGAAGTTCCGTCTCTGGAGCATTAATGACAGTGAAATAGAACAAGAGACTTGCTTTAAGTATTTAGGATAGTCATGCATGCCACTGTATCAAGGAAAGCCCACTGTGTATATGTTGCTGCTACTGGACAAAGATCTTCCAATGCAATCCTCAAACTTTTATGATCCAAGTGGAGGATATTATGTTCCAGCCATATTTAAACATTTTTGAACTAAGCTATTAGCCCAGTTTCTCTATGGGACTCTGGTTGCCCTCCTGCTTGTTTTACCTCCTTGGAAGAGAATACAATCTAAATTAATTACAGCAGCTCTCCAGATACTTCTCTGAGTCTCAAATGCAACTGGAGATAGGTATGATAAAAGTTGAGTCGAGTATGTCTAGATTCTATAAGCTTTTGAAGCTTAATTTCTATCATTAATTTTTAAGGACAATTTTCAGTCCACATGTGTCAAGGCTTTTGAATCTAATCTTTTAAATGTAGACTACTTCTTCAGTTCTCAAGCAGAATAAGATCAGGCAAAACAAACCCTGAAGCAAGGGACAGAAGATACAGAGTGGCAAGCAGATCTAGGGAAAATATTAGCAGTAGATTCTTACCTCTAATTAGTAGATATTCTGGTCGCTCAGATTCAGCCTATGCCCAGATGCTTGTCGTAAATGAATTACTTTTTGCTAGAGATCATATAGCTAAGTCTTGTGCAGCAGCATGGAAGATCCATTGGACCCTGATGGACTAATCTTCTGCAATTCACTCTGTGTAAC